ACTGTAGCAGCAGCAGCAGCTGCTGCTGCTGCTGCAGCAGCCGCCACTGTGAAGTCTAAGAGGGTTGCTCTACCATGTGGGAGCCCTAAAACAAAGAAGAGATAAGAAAAGATAGACACTGTTCTTACTGCGCCTGCAGCAGCTTAGCAGCAGCAGCCTCTGCTTCTGCTGCTGCTGCCTCCGCTTCCTCTGCTGCTGCTGCTGCCTCCTGAGCAGCCGCCGCCGCAGCAGCAGCAGCAGCAGCACGCACCCGCGCTACCTCTCTTGCTGCAGCAGCTCGCGCTGCAGCTGCTGCTTTTGCTGCTTCCTTGCTTGCTGCTGTATCTGCTGTTCCTGCAGCTTCAACCCCCTCTTCTGCATCAGCAGCAGCAAGTGCTGCTTTTAAAGCCTCCATTCTGCTGTTTGTTGCGGTAGGGGGTTTGCTGCTGGTGAGAGACGAAAGCGCTGCTGCTGCTGCTGCTGCTGCTGCTGGCAGGCTTCCTGCTGCAGCAGCAGTTAGCATCCGCGCGGCGGCGGGCCCCACAGCAGCAGATCCAGCAGCAATCTGCTGTGCTGGAAGCAACTCTGCTTCCCCGTGCGCCCCCCCAGGAGCAGCAGCAGCAGCAGCAGCAGCATCAGCATCAGCAGCAGCAGAGGAATCAGCAGGCTGAGACCGAACTAAGTTTAAAAATATATTTGCGCAGAGAGCTAACGTCAGAGACACCACCAACACCGCAGGGCCTGCAGACAAACAAACAACAAATAATAATAATATATATTAATCTACTACAGGCTTCTTGCTGCTAGTGCTGCTGCTGCTGCTGCTGCTGCTTCTGCTGCTGCTGCTGCTGCTGGTGCTGCAGGTGCTGCTGTTGCTGCATGTGCTGCTGTTGCTGCTGGTGCTGCTGGTGCTGCTGTTGTTGCTGGTGCTGCTGTTGCTGCTGCTGTTGCTTGTGCTGCTGTTGCTACTTCAGTATGCGACTGGTGCATGGTGCTGCAGTAGCTGCTGCTACTAGTGCTGCTGCTGCTGTTGCTGTTGCTGCTGCTGCTGCAGCAGCACGAACTACAGCAGCAAACGCACCGCAGCGGTCGTTATAATCGATTGGCTCTTTTCGCTCTAAGGCCCGGGACCGCCGCAAGTAAATCTGAAGGAGACACCCAAACCCTAAACCCTAAACCCTAAACCCTAAACCCTAAACCCTAAGTTCTCACTAGAGCAAAGGCGAGCAGCTATAGAGGCGTGTTCTGCTACATGTTGTTGCTGCTGGTGCTGCCTGCCGCTGCAGCATGTTGTTGCTGCTACTGCTGCTACATGTTGCTGCTGCTGCTGCTGCACGTTGTTGCAGCAGCTGCTACTGTAGGTTCATGCTACAGCTGCACGTTGCTGCTGCTCTAGATGCACGTAGTTTCTCGCGCTGCTACTGCGTCTGCTGCTGCTGCTGCTGCTTCTGCTGCTGCTGCTTCTGCTGCTGCTGCTGCTGCTGCTGCTGCTGCTGCTTGAGGTGCTGCCATACCCAGAAAGAATAGCCAATAAAGAATATTGCGACGGGGGCAAGAAGCAAGCCTGCAGCTCTTGCTGCTGTCTGGCCGAAGGAGAGCAGCGTTATAGCAACAGATGCCTGCAGCACAGCAATATTTAACCACTGCAGCAGCGTGCGTTCATTAGCAAAGAAGGTCTTAGGCTCCACGCGTACTGTTGCTGCTGCTGCTGCTGGTGCTGCTCCTGCTGCTCCAGTAGCTGCTGCAGCACCACCACGAAACCCTCTGCTGCTGCGGGGGCGCAGATGAAGGAACCGATACACCCGGGAGCAGCAGCGGCGGATAGCAGGCATGCAGCTGCTTCTGCTGTTGCAGCAGGACAGCCACAGACTGCTTCGTTGCTGCTGCTGCTGCTGCCGCCTGCTGCTGCTGCCGCTGCTGCTGCTGCTGCCCAGCAGCGGCTCCCGAAGGCCCCTCACACCCCCCACTGAGCCGCTACCCCCAAGGAGAGGAGGGCCCCCCGCTGAAGATGTCTCCAGCGACTGTCGCAGTTCCTGAGCCCCGCAGCAAACACCCCACACTCGATCCCCGATCCTCGATCCCCGATCCCCGATCCCCGATCCCGGCGGGACAGAGAGCCCGTCTGTGGGGTTGGAAAGGACGGGTAGCAGCAGCAGCAACTGTCTCCTTGTTTGGATGCAGCAGCAGCAGCAACTCTCTCCTTGCTGGGATGCAGCAGCAGCAGCAACTGTCTCCTTGTTTGCATGCAGCAGCAGCAGCAGAAGGCTGACCTGTACAGAAGCCTCCTGGTCGTGTGCTATGGAGGCCCCGGGGCCTCGATATATTACGTCGAGCTTAGAGACTCTTGAAGAGGGACAGCTGCTTGGTGCTGCTGCTGCTGCTGCTGCTGCAGATGCAGCAGGAGGGGGCATCCCCTCCTGCTGCAGCTGCTGCTGCAGTTGCTGCTGCTCCCTTCCCCTCTCTTGCTGCTGTCGATGCCCCCCTTCAAGCTGGAGGGCTCCTGGATCTCCAGCTGCTGCATCAGGTGCTGCTGCTGCTGCTTTCCCTGCTGCTGCTTCAGGGGCCCCCGGGGCCCCCGGGGTTGGGTGAAGAGCGCTGAAGCTTGTCGGGTGCTGCAGCTCTTCTTCATCTTCTTGTGCTGCTGTGGTGTATGCAATCCAGTGTGGCAGCAAAGAAGCACCAGCAGCAGCAGGAAGCTGCTGCAGCTGCTGCAGCTGCTGCAGCTGCTGCGAGTACAGTGTAGATACACCGTGGGCGAAGAGAGAAAACCCAAACACCTCCGTTATACTCGGGACGCCTAAACAATTACAAGAAAAATAAATTAAAATGATGTTAAAGACAAACAAATATAATAAAATAAATATAAAATAAAATGCTTTTACAAACAAATACAAAAAAAATAAATAAAAATGATGTTTTAGACGAACAATAATAGGCGAAAGACATACCCAGACCCTAAACCCTAAACCCTAAACCCTAACTAAACCCTAACTAAACCCTAACTAAACCCTAAACCCTAAGGCAGCAAACCCCCTTTCGATATGCACTCGAGGCAATCCCCACATCCACCCCCAGTCGTCGGCGCATGCAGTTCTAAACTTTCTAGGGTTAGGGGTTTAGGGTTTAGGGTTTCTCACCGACAACGCCGCTGAGGAAGTCCGCAGCGGGAGACGACGGCCCCCGCCCCACAGCCTCCTGGGATCGGATCCCAGACGATCCCAGGCGGGTAACGTCCATCACCCCCCAAGGGAAGGGAGCAGCGCCTTCAGAGGCCAGTGCAGCGGCTCCATTCAACAGAAACGCTGCATGCAAATATAAACCCTAAACCCTAAACCCTAAACCCTAACCCCTTCATAAGAAAAGAGCTACCTGAAGGAGAAGAAGAGAAGAAAGCTGTCTGTACACTCTAATATATCCTCTAAGCTATACACGCTCGTGTGGGGCAACTAAACCGCCAAAAAGGGTTTAGGGTTTAGGGGTTAGGGTTTAGGGTTTAGGGTTTATTAAACCCCTGCGCACCCTTCCAGTCGCCGTCCGGAGGAACCCTCGCGAAGCGGAGATCTTCGTCTAGGGTTATAAACACCGAGCCGTCCTCCGACCTAAACCCCAAACCATAAACCCTAAACCCTAAACCCTAAACCCTAAACCCTAAACCCTAAACCCTAAGAGGACCAACTAGAGGCCTGCGAGTTGAGTGTTTTCTTCCCCGCATTCGTAGCCAGAGGGGACAAGCCCCTCCCCCAAAGAGGAGGGTTTAGGGTTTATTAGAGTTTATTAGAGTTTATTAGGGTTTATTAGGGTTTATTAGGGTTTAGGGTTTTCTAACCGGAAGCAAGTCCTCGCAAACCAAACCCTCAGCACCGGATGCAGGTCCTTCTCCTTCATCTCCTTTGCTGCCTTCAATGTGAAGGCGCCGCGCGACTCCGCAAACTCTCTACTCATCCCTAAACCACAAACCCTAAACCCTAAACCCTAAACCCTAAACCCTAAACCCTAGATCCTGATCTGGGTTCTTCCGAGGATAAATTTGAACCCTGGTGGTCTCGTTGGCTGCTGCAAACTCTCAGCCCCTGCCTCATCACGTCTTTATTAGGGTTTAGGGTTTAGGGTTTAGCGGATCTTCTCACCAGCAGCCAACATCTGCTGCTCTACATCTCTTGCTGCTGCTTGTGCGTCACCCGCCACGAGCTGCTGCAGCGCCTGCGGCTGCAGCAAAACGCTTTGCTGCAGCGCCTTCAGCACCTTAGGAGTCTGAAAGTAGCAGCAGCAGCAGCAGCAGCAACAGCAGCAACAGCAACATTTTACTGCCGCTACGGCTGCTGTACGATGAAGTATAGAATAGAGCGGTTTATCGTTTGTTTGCATGCTGCACTTGGGCTAGGGTTTGTCTTAGGGTTTAGGGTTTAGGGTTTACGTCGTAGGCAGGGTAGATCTGCTGCTGAGGGTTTGAAGCAGGTTCCTGTACAGCAGCAAACTCTAAAAAGCGAAGAGGAGCAGCAGCAGCAGCAGGAGTCAGTTCTCCTGCATTTGTCTCTCTCATCCGCAGCAGCTCCTTCACGCTGCAGCTGCTGCTGCTCCAAGGCTGCCCTTGCTTCCTCCCCTTCGTTTGCTGCGCACACACCAAACAGCAGCAGCAGCAGCAGCAGCGGAGGCGAAGACCTTGCCCTTCCAGCACCAAAGCAAAGGCGCTCAAACAGCAGCAGCAGCAACAGCAGCAACAGCAGCAGCATAAGCAGCAACTGCCGCCACGACAGCAGCGCGACTCAGTGACAGCAGCAGCAGGAAGTGAGGCAACAACGGCAGCGACGGGAGCAGCAGCAGCAACCCAGCAGAAGCAGCAGACGGTGCATTAGCAGCAGGAAGTGCAACAGCAGCAGCAGCAGCAGCAACAGCAGCAGCAGCAGCAGCAGCAACGGACCAGTTCAACAAAGAGATCGAAGTTGGGTGTATCGAAGTAAACGAGCGAAGTTAGGCGGCGACAGTCTGCAGCAGCAAGACCCTCAGCAGCAGCCTGCTGCCGGTTCTTTGAGCCCTTATCCTTGCTGCTGCTGCTGCTGTTGTTGTTGTTGTTGTTGTTGTTGTTGTTATTGTTGTTATTGTTGTCGTCGTCGTTGTTGTTGCTGCTGCTGCTGCTGCTGTTGCTGTTGTTGTTGTTGGCGCCGCTGCTGAGGGATGTGGGAGCCCAGGGGTTGTTCTGTTTGCTGCCGCTTGCTGCTGCAGCAAGCTGCAGCTTAGCTGTCTCTTTTATTGCTGCTGCTTGCGAAGGAGACAGCGGCATTGAGGTGTCTACGCTGCAGCCCTTTATAGAACAGAGCAGCAAATGCTTAGCTAACGTCACTTGCAATCTAAACAACAATTCAGACAACACACACGCCAGCAGCAAGTTGCCGCAGCAGCAGCAGCAGCAGCAGCAGCCCCAGCAGCACGAGCAGGAGCACCACGAACAGCAACACAAGCAGCAGCACCAGGAGAAAAAGCAGCAGCAGCAGCTGCCACAACACAAGCAGCAGCAGCAGCCACAGCAGCAGCAGCCACAGCAGCAGCAGCAGCAGCAGCAGCAGCAGCAGCAGCAAGTTGCTGCCTTACCTAACGACCTCATCGGGTAAGATAAGGTATTTGATGGTCTTCATGCCAGAGTTGTCTTCAGTAGAAACATCATCAGACGCCCCCGTTGCAACAGGAGCTGCAGCAGCAGCAGCAGCAGCAGCTGCTGCTGCTGCTGCCGCTGCTGCCTGCGCCCCAGGTGCCGGTCCAGTGGGAGCAGATGCAGCAGCACCCTTCGGTGCTGCATCTGCCGCTGCTGCTGCTGCTCGCGCTGCTCCTATTGCTGCTTCTGGGTACTGCGTCATAGCCTTCAAAGCGCGCAGCTGCCGATATGCTGCAGCAAGCTGCAGCAGCAGCAGCGGAAGGTTCAGCCGCATGAAGGGCTGTCGCATGACCCTGAGCAGCAGCAGCAGCAGGAGCAGCAACAGCAGCAACACTAGATGCAAAGGTGAGAGCAACGCAGGCAAAAGCAGCAGCAGAAACAACAAACAAGCACACCAGCAGCAAACTCCAGTGGAGCAGCAGCAGCAGCAGCAGCAGCAGCAGCAAAAGCAAAGTCAGCAACAACTGTTGTGCAGCAGCAAAGCCAGCAGCAACAGCACAACTAGCAGCAGCAGCACACCCAGCACCAACAGCAGCAGCACCACCGCCACCACAACCACAGCCAGCAGCAGCAGCAGCAGCAGCAGCAGCAGCAGCAGCAGCAGGAGTTGCACCTGCACATGTGGTATGCAGCAGACGACGATTTGTTGAGCTTATCAAATTTCTTTGCTATCTTCCTAAAGGCAGTGAAGTTAAGCCGAGTGTATGAAGATAAGAAAACGATCTCATTAGCTTCTGCTTCTAAAGCAAGCTCTATAGCAGCAACCTCTTTATTAAGTGCTGCAGATACTGCTGCTGCACCATCCGCCGCCTTTGTTGCTGCTGCCGCATCCGCTGCTGCTGCTGCTGCTGCTGCTGCTGCTGACCATGCTGCGCCTGTGGGATACTCAGGGCAGCACTCGCTGCTAGAACCACCGCCTTCACCGCTCTCACCCTGCTGCTGCTGCTGCTGCTGTTGTTGCTGTTGCTGCTGCTGCTGCTGGTGATGATGATGAGGCGGCTGTCGAGGATGCTGCTGCTGCTCGTCATTGTCCTGCTGCTGCGGCTGGGGAGAAGGAGGGTTTAGCAGCAGCTCCTGCTGCTGATGCTGCAGAACATACAGCTGCTCCAGCAGCTGCTGCAGCGCAGCAGATGTTGCAATCAAAGTGGCGACGGAGAAGCTGTTCACCTTCGCCAGCTCGTGCTGCAGCAAATCTTCAAAACGGCTCTCGGGAGGCCTGCAGCAGCAGCAGCAGCAGCAGCAGCAACAGCACTGGTGGCGGTGTGGTTGTGATGGCGGTAACTCTAATGCCAGGGGAAGCAACAGTAGCAGCAGCAGCAGCAGCAGCAGCAGCAGCAGCACAATCAGCAGCAGAAGCAGCAGCAGCAGCAGCAGCAGCACAATCAGCAGCAGAAGCAGCAGCAGCAGCAGCAGCAGCAGCAGCAGCAGCAGCACAATCAGCAGCAAAAACCAGCAACAGCCGCAGCATCAAAATGAGCCGCAGCCGCAGCAGCAGCAACAGCACCAGTACCAGCAGCAGCAGCAGCAGCAGCAGCAGCAGCAGCAGCAGCAGCATGAAGAGTGTTGCTGCATACCTGTAATGCTCTCCCTCTAACGCTTTTGTGTTGGCGAAGCTGCTGACAGCTTCTTGAATTGACAGTGCAGAGACATCAGCACCTGTAAACAACTTCACAGCCTTCTTTAACTCTTTATATGCTACATAGAAGGGGGCCCTGCGGCTTTCGCGCAGCTCTTGCAAGCGCTTGGAGAACTTCATCTTCTGCTGCTGATTCTGCTGCTGCTGCTGATGATGATGATGATGATGCTTATTATGTATATGCTGCTGGCGCTGCTGCTGCTGATTATGCTGCTGCTGTGGATGTGCATGCAGATACTGCTGCTGCTGCTGCTGCTGCTGCCACAGAGCAGACACTCAGTCGCGCTGAGCTGCCCACGCTACTGCTGCTGCTGCTGCTTCTACTGCTGCTGCTGCTGCTGCTGCTGCTGCTGGTGCAGTGGGCAGGTGGGCTTAGCCGCAGCAGCAGCAACACCGTTGTGTGGAGAGAAGGCGAAGAAAGGAGCAAGGCAAAGAAGGAACCCCTCTTGCTGTGGCTGCCGCTGCTGCTGCAGTTGCTGCAGTTGCTGCAGTTGCTGCTGTTGCTGCAGTTGCTGCAACGTTCCTTGCTTCGTCTGCCTCTCCGGCTGCTGCGGAGCCGCACAGGCCCAGAAGCAGTCCAGAGAAAGAAGACAGCAGCAGCGGGAACAAGGCAGAAGAGCGTTTCTTCTTGCTGCTGCAACAGCTGCTGCTGCTGCTGCTGCTGCTGCAGAGATGCTGACGGAGCTGCCTACACCTAAGAAGCTTCTGTTTAGGAAACTGCAGCTATGATGTTTTTAACACCTTTAGAAGGTGATTTGATGAAGCAGCAGGTCTGCAGCAGCAGCAGCAGCAGCCGCGGGCACCGCTGCTGCCGCTGCTGCTGCTGCTGCTGTTCTGCTGCTGCTGCGGCTGGCGCATGCAGGGCAGCAGCAGCAGAATGAAACTGCTGCTAAACATATATGTGTCTTCGTTCTTATTGCTGTAGACTTCCTTTATATTCTATTAACACTCAAGTTATTGGGTCCTGCGCACTGAAGCCGCAGCAACATTTGCTGCTGCCACTGCTGCTGCTGCTGCTGCTGCTGCTACCGTCCTTCGTGCAGCGCTGTTGCAGCTGAGGCTGTTCTTCTTCCCCCTTCATTTACTGCTTAAAAAGCAAAAGAGACAAATAAATGCATGCAATACAAAACAGCTTATCAATAATTATCCACACATCCCAGCTACACAGCCAGCAGCAGCAGCAGCAGCAGCAACAGCAGCAGCAGTAGCAGCAGCAGCAGCATCCGCATGAGCAGCACAGGGGCAAAGACCACCGAAATCTCCATCAGCACACCGAAAACAGAATCACCAGCAGCAACACGATACGGACAGAAGCAGCAGCAGTAGCAGCAGCAGCAGTAGCAACAGCAGCAGCAGCAGCAGCTGATCGGTTTCTTTGCTGCTACTGTTGAGTGCTCTGTAAGCAGTAGCAGCAGCAGAGCGGGAACGCGGCACGAGCGACGGCTGCAGCAGCCGCAGCTGCTGCTGCTGCAGCAGCCGCAGCTGCGGCAGCTGCTGCAACGAAGGAGGCTTGTGCAGTGCAGCCCTGCGCCTAGTGGTATATACAACAGCAGCAGCAGCAGCTGCAGCTGCAGCAGCAGCGTCCTACGCTTCTGCAACTTCTAGGGTGTATGTACAGCATAGGGGAAAGAGCAGCAGCAGCGGTACAAGTGCCGCCTTTAGAGAGCAGCAGCAGCAACAGCAGCAACAACCACGGCAGCAGCAGCAGCAACAGCAACAGCAGCAGCAGGGACTTCCGAATATGGGGGTCTTCAGCGCCATCAGGCTGCAGGCGATGCTGCCGCTGCTGCTGCTGCTGTGTGGGGCGCTGCTGCCTTCATCATTAGCAGCAGCCGATGCAGCAGCAGCAGATGCAGCAGCAGCGAGCGGTTGGTTCTCTTCGTTTGATGTTCAGACACCGCAGGAAGCTGCAATTGCTGCTGCAGCTGCGATAGAGCGTGGAAGGAGCATGCTGCTGCTGCAGCAAGGGCATCAGCAGGAGCAGCAGCAGCAGGAGGAGGGGTCTCTGCCCAGCAGCAAGAAGAATGATGTGCGTTTTCTGCTGCCATCATCCGCAGCAGCAAGACTAGATGAGTCTCCGCAGCAGCTTCATTTTTCTGCTGCAACATCAAAGGGACCGAACAGCAGCAGCAGCAGCAGCAGGAGCAGAAGCAGCGAAAACAGCAGCGAAAACAGCAGCGACAACAACATCAACACCAACAACAGCAACAACGAGAGCAGCAACAGCAACAACAGCAACAGCAGCAGCAGCAACAGCAGCAGCAGCAGCAGCAGCAAGAGAGAATCGTATGACTGGGGGCGTACTTGGTTGCTGATCGGCTGCAGCACTTTGTTAGTTTGCTTCGCGGGGGTTTCAAGCGGCCTAACCACAGGGTACATGGCCTTCGATGAGCTGCAGCTGCTCGTGCTGCAGGAGACAGGCACAGAGACAGAGAAGCAGCAGTAATACACACACTAGACAATTCTCGTGCTGCTGCTCCTGATGATGATGATGATGCTGATGATGATGATGCTACTTGTGCTGCTGCTTATGCTGCTGTGGCTGCTGCTGATGCTGATCATGCTGCTGCTGCTGCTGATGCTGCTGATATATGTAAAATATATATATATATATATATGTATGAAAATATAGATTACATGTAAATATGTATATATATATATTTATTTATATATTTATTTATATCTTTATATATATATATATATTTATTTATATTTATTTATATTTATTTTTATATAAGTCTTTCTATCGCCGTTAGTACTTGCAGGCGTATTAATTTTGAGTTAAACATTTTACAGTCTTTAATATATAAAATAATAAACTTAGCAATCTATATATATATATATATATTTAAGTGTATATATATATATATATATATAT